TGAGAATCTGGGTAGATGGAATGAGAATGATATTAAAAATGGTAGTGTGTATGAGCCGAATTTCATGTATTGCAATCATTCCTCCTTTTCTGGAGCATCACTGTTCGTAGGAAATCAGGTTCTCTTGCAGTAACAACAAAGCATAGCACCCTGATCTCCATTTTGTGCGCGTATTTAAAATTTTTAATTTTTTTAAAGAAAAAAACTACGATCTAAATCTAAATTCTAAACTAAAGTTAATCTTTTGACAGTTCACTTTAAGAAACAACAATAGAAAATCATTAAATAATAAAGTAATCTTTTAACAGTTAACAGTCTTCATTTCATGGGAATTGATTTTCTGGGCCTTTTCATCTCTGCTTGCAGTGATTTAGTGTGTTAAATGGCTTTATAGCTTCAAAAATAAAATCATCCTCCAAATTTTACTGAACTAATTTATAATTTATATTTTCCTGTATAAACAGCACTGCTCTGATGACGATAGCACGACAAGGCCTCTTCTACTGGTCACTGCTTCTGTAGACAAGATTGTCCTGAAGAAGCCAATTAGTGTTGACATTGATCTCAAAATAGTTGGTTCTGTCATATGGTTGGCCGATCCTCAATTGAGGTCCAGCTTGTGGTATCTCAGTCCAAAGAAGGTGCTATCACATGGTTCTAAAAATTTGAGTATTTTAGAGTGCCAAAACTTCAAACAGACTAGTTTCCCATTGGCTTCGTCATGATTTTGTCGGTAACTTGGTCTTCATATGTTATGATGTTATCCATACCAACCCATCTGATTCAACTATGAACTGGCCATTGAACCAATCTGGTTCAAACAAATGCACTAGTTGCAATTAAATTCAATTGGCCAGATGACCGGCAGTGATTGAACCTGACCTATTTTCTTTTTTCTGCTTTAATCAGTTTTTATATTGTCTCATATAAATATGATATACCAAATTAAATCTTGTTTAGCTGTCTATTTGCTTTATAGTTGGATTTCTAAGACGCATGTCTAAAATAGTTGCAGAGGGCTCTAATGATTCAGACTCTGTAGCACTCACAGCCAACTTCATATTTGTTGCACGGGACTCAAAAACTGGAAAGGCAGCTCCAGTTAATCGACTTTCGCCTGAAACTGAACCTGAGAAGTTACTTTTTGAACAACGTGAGGCAAGACATAATTTTAAGAAAAGGAAAAGAGGAGGGGAGTGGAAGGATTTGGAGAATGGAAATCTAAATAGACTCAAATCTCTGTTGGCAGAGGGAAGAGTTTTCTGTGACATGCCTGCCTTGGCTGATCGTGACAGCATTCTCTGAGGGATACCCGCCTTGAGAACTCTCTAATCTGCCAGCCTCAGCAGCGGAACATCCATGGCCGAATCTTTGGAGGATTTTTAATGCATAGAGCATTTGAATTGGCTTTCTCAACAGCATATGCTTTTGCTGGATTGGTTCCATGCTTTCTTGAAGTTGATCATGTTGATTTCTTAAAGCCTGTGAGTATTCTGTCCTTTGTTTTCTACTTTCATCATATCTTCGTCAAAATGACTACTATTAGAAAATCCTTAAATCCATACCCTTGATTAGCTCATCTATAGCATAATTTTACAGCACATGCGCACAGGGAATATTCTTTGAAAATATTGTGATAAAATCGGATTCAACTATAACCACTGCTAAAAAGAACATATATGATTGAGTTGGCATATTGTTTGCGTTCGAAAATCGTCAGAGAGGAAGAGAAAAAAGGGATAGACTTTTGTGCTTTTTTTTTTTTTTTTTTGGTGAGAACTTTTGTGCTTTTTGGTTCCAGCCTATAAGGTTTCTTTCTCGGTCTCACACAATGAACCTGCCAATGTTTTGCTATTCTTTTATCAATTTGTTTGAATGAGATGTGAACTGATGCAACTCACGCTATAAGTTGTTTTGACTGATTACTTGATCTCTATATGATTAGAAGGGAGTGAAAATCAAGCTATTTGTTTGTAATCGTAAAGACAAGGATTTATTTGACCAGGTTGACGTCGGGGATTTCTTGCGTTTCAAGTCCTGTGTTCTTTATACCGAACTTCACGATCCAGATCAGCCACTGATAATGTTGAAGTTGTTGCTCATGTTACTAGACCTGAGCTGCAATCTAGTGAGGTTAGTTTTATTGAACTACACTTTGGACAATAAAAAAGATTGTGGATTGATTCATCTTGCTTCCCTGTTTTCTTTGGTTCGATACAGGTATCAAATACTTTCCATTTCACTTTCACAGTACGTCCTGAGGCAAAGGCAATGAAAAATGGCTTGAAACTTCTAAAGGTAGTACCAGCTACAGAAGAAGAAGCTCGTTTAATATTAGAGCGCATGGATGCTGATAGTGATAGTTTGCAATGATCTTGAGAAGGATCATTTGTACGCTGGTGAATTAAACAAGAATTGGCAGGAAGAGAAAATGGGGTAAAGCTATAATTAGGTTTTAACTTAAGGAGAAAAAGTGTAATTCCCCTGCTTATTTTACCACGGTCCATTGATAATGCTAGTATTTTGCAGCGCAAGTACTTTTCTCCGCTTCCCTACCATGGAACACATCCTCTACCCAACGTGAGAGGGAGGGTTGGATTTGGTCCGAAATGTTATGCCTAATTATTTCAAGGGTTATAATTAATTTATTTATGTAATTTAATTTCTTTTAATTTACTAAGTATTATAAGAATTAGCAGGAGTACTTTTTAGATGATATGAGTAATTCTTGTTATCCGTCACTAATTAGGTATTCATTACATTTTTTTCGAGATCGCTCAAGTTTAAAGTTCCTTTTTTTGCTTCTCAAAATGGAGTTCATAACTTTTTAAATATGGTCAAAATTAAGAAATTTTAAATTGATTTTCAAACAAATTTAATGATTTAATCATTTTTCCTTAGTTTTGGTGAAATAGTCTGAGGTATCTTATAATAGGGATTGAACTATTGGAGGGGATATCATTAAATACACGTGGACCTTCCTTTTTGAGTTCAACCTAATGGCACAAAATCCATCATTTGAGTGCATAATAGGTAACTGTTACTTTTACAGGGATTGACAATATTTTGTATACTTCATTCATGTAATGTGATTTTATTGACATATAATTAAGATACTCACATATAATTTATCAACAAATATTTAAGTCATAACTGAGTAGCCAAAAAATAGAGGCTAAAAGGGCAGAAAATGAGCTCATGACAACAACAAAATATAAACGAAAATATTTAATCTTAATAATGCTAGGAACTTTCAATAATTGTTAGAAAGACAAACATCAGGTTCATTGTTCATGAAAACAAGCTCTCAACATAAGATTCACCATAAACTTCACTAGAAAAATGACTAATGTCCCACGAGGCTCCAACTGTTCCTTGATTGGATCAACTAAAACTATATCTCTATATGTCAGTAAGGCTCAGGAACACTTTTTCGCTGCTAGTTATAGCTCATCCATGGTATGAAAGAACATGCTTGAAGCTCCCATAGAAGATTCTCCGATGATGCACATGATGATGGGAGATACATCTGCACTAATAAGTTTCTCTGCCATTGATCAAACAGGCATAGTTCCATCACTTTCGTTGCAATTTCTTCCCAGCCTCATCCAGTTTCTGAGCAATCTCAGCTTCAGTGTAACCTTGATCATTAAGTTTATCTTCAAGGATCGCCAGCTTCAGCTGAATCTGACGTTTCCGGTCATGTTCAGGGATCTCTTTGTTAGGTTTCCTAGTATTTGCCTCATATCCTCGGCTGTTTTTCCTAGCAAACTTCCTAATAATCTTGGCCTTCACAAAGAACTTGTTGCTCTGCGTATATCCATTCGTACCAGATCCCCTCGGGGTCTGTAACCCTATTCCGTTGTACATATCGGCTCCTAGTGTAGACAAAGCCTAGCTAGGGTTCCAACATTTTTCAATACTTGCAACAGAACAATCACGCAGGGCTGACGGTGGACAGCGTCCAACGGCCGGTGACCTTGACCAAGGGTGGAATGTTTCTTCGTCGACGAAGAAAAATGGTCTGCTCCTTCTTCACCTAGAAGAGGTTATGTTTGGTTTTCTTAGGAAGGGGATGGAAGAGGTTTTGATGTTAATGTTTGGTTTTGTTGATGATGATGAGGTTTCTAAATAATTCCTTGATTTGGTTAATGAAAAGTAAAAATTAATCTACTATTTTATCCTTATCCGATGGCTTCTTCTCTTCTTTTTTAACTTTTATTTTGTATAAATTAATTTTATTAATTCAAATAGTATAATTTATAAAAATTCATCTATATCTTAATATACATTGTTAATGTGTATAATATAATGATAATAACAAAAAAATATTTAACTCCCTTAAATATATAACAAAATATCATTATGATATATCTACTTATAGATATATCACACGTATAAAGCTGTCTGATAAGTATATATTTTATAGTTAAATTGTTTAGATTTTGAAATATATTTGGTTGATTTTATGAATATCTCATATCTGTTTAATTAACTTTGCTATATTTTCCTCTCTTTAGACAATTGTAGGATAAAAATCAATTTTTTTATAAAAACTACTCAAATGTTTTTTGTTTTTCATTGTTGCAGGAAATGTTACAAGGTTAAAAAAAGGGTTATATAAGTGGACTGAAAAAACACTTGTAATTATTAATTTTCTGGATTAACTATTTAGAGACTAATTCATTGTCTTTATTTTAATTTTATTTCCTCTCGCTTAATCATTATGATTTAGCTTGCTTAACTTAAACAAAAATAAGAATTTTAGTGTCTAAACGCTACTTATTCTCTCTGAAAACAATACTCCAGTCAACAGAGGAGGAAGATGATTGCGTTCTCAGATTTATTTATTTTTTCCAGATGCCACATCACCTCCAGTCAATAGAAACTAACGGCCAATGCAAGCCTAACAAACAGAAGGACTAGCGCTAATAACATAACAAACAATAAGGATTGAATTAAAAAGAAAAAAAACTATAAGGACTTGATTTAAAATTGGATGCAATTATAGGGATTGGCAAATTAATTTTCCAGGTTAGTTATACTGTAGTTATAAGTATAACTACTTATACCTTCATCCTTCTGTAAACAATTCCATCATTGTTTACAATCTCTCATTATCCATCTCTTCAATCGCTATGGAGAGTCAATTGTATTTTTTCCCTGCATCAAAGAAAGAAACTAACGAACATAGAAATGATATTCTGGTTATCGGCATTGCTTTGGGCATTTGCGTTTTAACACACATCGAATAGGGCACATCTTCTAACCCTGTACAGTCTTCTTGCTTGAAAGATCAGGTAACAATCTTCTGACCCTGGACAATCTCATTATTGAGATTCTTATTTGGTATCTAATATATTTTCTTTGCTTTTTTTGTTAAGTTGCAGCCCACAAGTAGGAGGAAGAAAGAAAACGACGGCAGGAAGAAAGGCGACAGTAAGAAAGGTAGCGGGAAGAAAGGCGACTGAGGAAAGAAACCCAAAAAGGAAAAAAGCAAGTTTTACAAGCATTTCCATTATTAAAATATTCTGTTAATATTTTGTTGATATGATTTGATTTATTTGATTTGTATTCATCTCTTGATTTATTATTAGGTTTTATTATTCTTTTTTTTGTATGTATAGATGTACTCATCTCGTTCCAGAATATACAAATAATATTCATCTCCAATATTTTCTCTCTTTCTCTATTCTGACATGGTATCAGAGTCATAAACTTTTAGACACCTACCTTTGTTTGACGTGTCATCACGCACGTGCTTTTATCCCATTTGGTTTCCTCTAGATTTGCGCCACTCCACATCCTTTCTACCGTCATCTTTTACCGTGTGTATTCACCATGGAAAAGTCTGAGGTTGCCCATCCAATCTCTGTTATGTTGAATGGCTCCAACTACTGCCTATGGTTTGAGAGTATATGTGGTTTTTTAAAAGGGCATAAACTATAACATTATGTTACTAGTGATATTCGTTTTCTTGTTCGCAAAGCTGATGAGACTGATTTGAAATTCAATGACTGACTTGATGAGTGGGATAGCAAAAATAATCAAATTATCACATGGTTTCAAAATACCTTAATTGCTAGCATAAATCAATAATTTGGCCGCTTTGAAACAGCAAAAGAGGTATAGGATCACCTTGCTAATCGCTATACATAATCTGATTTGTCCAATCAGTTTCAATTGCATAAAAATCTCAGTGTCTTAAAGCAAGAAAAAGGTCAGCCCCTATATTAGTTTTTGGCTAAGATTGAGTCTATCTGGGATCAATTAGCCTACTCGGAACCTAGTTTCAAGAATGAGGAAGATGCACAAGCTTTCTTTCAGTACCGCGATTAGCTTCGTCTTATTCAATTATTGATGTCTCTCACGGATGATTTTGAGCCTGTTTGAGCATCCTTACTTTACCAAAGTCCACTTCCGACTCTTGAGGATGCTCTCCCTTGGCTTCGCTTCGAAGAAACTCGATTTGGACTTTTACAATGTACTCCTGAAATGGTTTTTGCTACCACTGGAAGATCCTCTAAATCTTGTCATCGTTGCCCTCAATTTGATCACTCCTTTGATCAATGTCCCTATATTGAGTGCCGAACCTGTTAAAAGAAGGGATATATAGCCGCAAATTGTCCTACCATGTTCTGTGACCACTGTAAAAAGACAGGGCATCTTATTGATTGATGCCTTACTCGTCCTCTCAGGTCTGATCAGGGAAGATCAATAAGGCCTAATTCCTTTTCCAAGCCTGCATTATCTACTACTGCTGCTGATTTTACCTTGGAATCTTCTACTGCAAATCTTGAGGCTTTACTTTGCAGGTTTGTCCCTGATACTTCCAACCCACCTGCTACCTTAGCCACCTCCTCAAGTACTTCATGGTTCTTTGACTCTGCTTCTTGGAACCATATGACTAGTTAGGAAATTTTTTTTCTTCTATGTCAAAAATACTACTCTCATCCTATACATACATCTAACAGCTGTCAAATGCCCGTTAGTCATATTGGTACTATTTCTCTGCCCTCCTCATCCATTTATGAGACTTACTCCATCCCTACTATTAGCTTTAATCTTCTTTCTGTTGGACAACTTGTTGATATGGGTTATAATGTCTTATTTATCAAAAGTGGTTGTGTTGTGATGAATTTTTGGACAGGACAGGTCATCAGGAGTAGGCATAAGGTCGACTGTATGTTTGAGCTCAACTCACTGCATCTCCCTGAAGTCACTTCTCCCAAATTGTGTGCTGCTACTACATCTTCGTCCCTCAATTTATGGCATCACCGTCTTACTCATCCTTCCTTAAATGAACTTCGTCCTTTAATTTCTAGTGGTCTCTTAGGTCGAGTCAAGAATGAGTCTTTACATTGCATTTCATGTCAAACTGCCAAACAACCTGCTTTATCATTTAATAAAAATGACTTTATTGTTGATTCCATTATTGATTTGGTTCATTCAGACATTTGGAGTCCCACGCCTACTCCATCTATGGGAGGATCTCGATACTCTGTGATTTTTGTTGATGATCATTTGCGTTATA